CTTCCAATTGTGCTGCTATTCTCACTTAAGATGAAGGCTTACAGAACAAAATAGTTTCTCATTTAACAGTTAGTACACATGCTGCCCTATGACAATGGTTAACAATCTCACAACACATCAACAGTATTCTTACTCAACCTTGGGTTCCCTATCACCAGCTTCCTTGTCCCCTTCTGCCTTCTGGCCCTTGTCACTGGACTACTGTACCTCATTAGTCCCGTTTGGTTTTACGGGGCTGTCCACTCCTAGTACTTTGCCCATTTTTTAATTGGGTTATTTGTCTTTTTGTTGTTGAGGTGTTGACGTATTTTATAGATTTTAGAGATTAGACCCTTGTGGGATATGTCATTAAAATAAAATTCTTAATACCCTGGCAGTGGTTGTAGCTGTCTTATCTATTGTATCAGGAGAAGTCCTGTAAAAATTAGAGGCACTTCATGTCAAAAGGAACTTGAAGAAGGATGTGTGTGTTTTTTAGTTTAACAAATTTTTAAAAAGACTTTTAAAATTTATTCCGGATTTTGACAGCCATTTCCTTTATGAAGTATTGTCTACTTAGCACAGTAAATAAGAGTATACAGACTAGACCTACATCTTAATTCTACAGTTGGGTGGTGAGCTCTTCCTGTTTATACTTAACATATATTATATCATGAATCCTCACAACAACCTTATGCAACAGGTACTATTATTATATCCCTTTTCCTATTGAGAAAATGGGCTCAGAGAGGTCAAGTAACTTTCCCTGTGTCACGCTGCTCATAAGTAAAACAGTAGAGATTTGAACCCCAGACTTTGTATTTTATGCTTTTTAACCTTCATAGTTTTTTTGCCATATCTTCATACCACCTATTTATTGATTTACTATTTTTTGGAATTATTCCTATTTTTAAACCCCCTTCATTATAAACTATACTAATGGGTGAAATCACTGGTTTTATGTACCAGTTATTTTAAGTTCATAGTATTATCTACAGTCATCTCAAGTACCAGACTTTCGGGAAGACTCCACGACAGTATACTTTTAAGGATGAATTTTGTTTTCTGTGGGAAATGAATATACCTGCACGTTTTGGCATATGGCTAGTTCTGAAAGACTAGTTTTGTTTTGCAAGGAAGAATAGCACACGATAGAAAAAGTAGCTGTTTTCCAGAATAACCATAGGTAGGCTATTTTCAGAGGAGCCCTGGCAGTGCCGTGGTTAAAGTGCTTGGCAACTAAGCAGAAGATTGGTGGTTCAAACCCACAAGCTATTCCACCGGAGAAAGATGTGACAGCCTGCTTCCGTAAAGATTACAGCCTTGGAAACCCTATAGGGCAGTTCTACTCTGTCCTTTAGGGTCATTGTGAGTCAGAATCAACTTAACAGCAATGGCTTTTTTTTTTAGGCTATTTTTATTCTTGACAAGGATTAGGTATAATATTGTGAAGAATGTTAAAATTTTATAGACTAGCCAATTCATATGTAAATTCTCTGTCTCATTGGAATGTAGCTTTTCAGTATCCTGTTGCCTGATTTAATCAACTATTATCTGACAGATCCTGGAGTTGTTAATTCACAGAGATGGGGAATTTCAAGAACTAATGAAATTAGCCCTTCATCAGGGAAAAATCCATCATGAAATGCAAGTTTTAGAAAAAGAAGTAGAGAAGAGAGACAGTGATATTCAGCAGCTACAGAAACAACTAAAGGAAGCAGAACAGATACTGGTGAGTTGAGAGAGGCTGTTAAGTTCTTAAGGTGAAAACGGTATTGTTTCATCTGTTTCTGAAAAATAAATCTATTGTCAGTATTTTGAAGTGGCTAAGAACTTGAGCTTGCTGATCTAAAAATGGCACCCTGTCAGCTTAATGAAAAGGCATTGTCCATAACCTTTTTTTACTTTTCAGATAGTCTGCTAAAACTAAGCATTACTTTTGAACCACATTTTCTTTATTTAAATATTTTACAGTATTGAATTCTAGAAATGGGGCATTTCACTTTTATCCTGATTTCATATGTTTCTGTTATTAATAGTCTAAATCTTCAGGTTTAAAGATATTTTGAAATCGGGAAGCATACCTAACACTTAAAAATTGATTAAAATTTACATTAATTTATTTACTCTTCGATCCTAAAGAAGATGAGAGTTGGGTAGATGTGAAGAACTGTGTTTTTGTTGTTGTTCATGGCTACTATTTCAAATAGGCAGTTTATTGGTCATTATTTGCCCAGTTATAACACTAAATGCTACCTGCTGTAATTGTTATATATGGTGGTATTGCAGAAACAACTGAGTTTGATTCTCATATAGACCAGACGTTGCTGGCATGCTTCATCCCGCATGAACCTCTTCAAGAATGTGTTAAAATGGCTCCCAGGGTTAATCAGTAGAAGCCTGAGCAGTTCAGGGTAAATTAACCACCTCTACTAAAGAAACAACCCCAAGTCAGTGCTTTTTTAAAAATGCGTTTATAACTAAATCTGTTTTTCTTTGTGAAACTAATGTTGGCTTATCAAAAGAAATTCAGAAAAATACCAAAGAGTAGAAAGAAAAGGAAAAAAATGCCTTTGGTCCCAGTGCTCAGAGATCGCCACTGTTGGCAGTTGGGTGGGTTCGTGCCAGTCTCAGGTGTGACCATTTTTCACCGTGTTGTGATTCGCGGGATACTGACTGACTTTGTTACTGTTTGTCAAAACTTAAGCATTTTCCAAAATCCTCTTTGTTTAGTTTTCCAACTTTCTGTTATAAATAATGCCTTGATGAACATTCTTGCAGATAAAGCTTTTTTCTTTCTACATTTAGGATTATTTCTTCAGATTAGATTTCCAAAAATGTAATTATTAAGTCAAAGAAAGTAAACATAAAGTCTATAGTAAGACTGAAATTTATGATTTAGAATAATAGTAACTAACATTTATTGAACACTTATGCACCAGGCCCTGTGCTTTGCACTTTGAATGCATTGTCTTAATCTTCATAACAGTTAGGTCAGTGCTGTCACCCATTTCACAGATGAGGAAGCCAAGACTTTGAATGAGTAACCGGCTTGTCCAAGGAGACTAAAAAATGGAGAGGTGGAATTTAAACCTAGATCTTTCTGGCTCCACAGTCTTAACCACTGTGTTATGGTTGAGAATATTCATGTACTTTGTTAACTTTAGGAGCCCTGGTGGCACAGTGGTTAAAGTGCTCAGCTGTTAACCGAAAGGTTGGTAGCTCGAGAAAGATGTGGCTGTCTGCTTCCATAAAGATTTACAGCCTTGGAAACCTTATAGGGCAGTTCTGTTCTGTCCTAGAGAGTCGCTATGGTTGGAATCGTTCGACAGCAACAGATTTGGTTTTGTGGGTATGTTAACTTTATTAGCTTTTTTACCCTTTCATTTATCTTGAGGGGGAGGGGGTAGTATTTTGCTGATAGTTATTAAGTATGGAGGTAATGTATAAATGAATAGCAATCCAAGAATGTGTCTTTTAAATTGGGGTGGGATAATTTAAGGTATTTTATCCTACCAGTTAGCTCAAACTTTTAACCAGATGCAGGGATAGGATCATTTTGGAATGGTATATAGTCTAGATTTCTTCTGCATGTTATGACAGAAGACATAAAGAAAAAAAGTTAGTAAATCAATTTGCATTGTCTCTAACAACTGATTTGTAAATGGAAGACTGATTCATGAATATTTCTTTCATTAATTGCAGCTGATACAAATGAGATCCTCCAGTGGTGTTTCAGAGCATTACAAATAAATTGTAGGGATTCAGATTTTGCATGTTGTTCCCTGTGGGATAAATAATCTTATGAATTAGGACAGAACCTATGCTTGATATAGTTAAGAATAAAACTTTTTTTTTTTTTAATGTTGTTTAAATTAGGCAACAGCTGTTTATCAAGCAAAAGAAAAACTCAAATCAATAGAAAAAGCAAGAAAAGGTTAGTACCATGGGAAGACTGGATGACCTGAAAAATACAAGTTTGGTTTCAAGAAACTGATCGAAGTATTATTGGTAATCATTTGCTGCTATTGAAAAGATTTCAATAAATCTTCATTACAAAGTGTCTACTGTGTTCTAGCACTGTGCTAGGCATTGTTAGGGGAGTAGAAGTATCACTTCCGTTCCTAGGCTATAAGACCAATGATAGAAAGCAATTTATGGCTGTGTACACAAATGTGCAATAATTGTTTATAAATTAATTGGATTCATAAAATTGGGAGAAGGGAAGAAAACTGCAAGCTGGAAGCAAGTGGGATTTGAGTTGGATCTAGAAAGATAAGGCAGATAGAATGAAGGGAGCATGCATTGGACAACTAGAGTGGGACTGGAACATCCCGAAGTCTGAACTGATATATGTGGCTCTGGGGGGTGTGTGCAGTTAGTGGTGCAGAGGCCCTGCATGCCTCTCTGTCCTGCTGTCCTGCTTTTCTCTTTAAAAGGCTTCTGTTATGGACCTTTCTGGATCTTTTAGTTTTCATATTAAAGCCAGAGTTATAATTAAATTTTGGTTACTTGCTGTTAATGATTCATAGATATGATTTACATTTAATCATCTCAGACATACTGTCTCACTTTCCTCTTCTGTTTCAACCTCCTTTCTAATTGTTACATAATGAAAAACAGCTAATGCCCCCTGAAAGATGGGCTAGGCTTCTATGCTAGGAAACAAATATCTGGGAATGGTGACTAAGCAAACTCTGAAATGTAGACCTGGTTATGGTTTGTTTGTAGTCTTCAAAATTTTACACATGTATATACACACACATACACGTGCTACCTTGTTACATTGAAACTTTCTAAAGTTTGTAAAGTGAAAAGTGAATTCTCACTTACTTCTCAGAGGTAAACTACTGTTAATATTTGGTGTGTGTCCTATATTTTAATGTAGGCCATGGGTTTTTTAAACTTGGTTTTCTACAAAACCAGTTTATTCTAGATCTATAAATACATATATAACAAGAACACTACAAATAAAAACATGCATGTATTTTTAAACAAAACTCATGCTCTACATACTATTTGCTGTTCTTCACCTAGTGAATATATTAGGTCTGCTTAGAGCCACGTTAAGCCTGTGTTAAGTAGTGGAGTGTGTGAACTGCCCGCTCTTCTAATAGTGTGGCTGTCATTAGGAGGTGAAGCTCTTTCTTCTAGTTTATTTGTGTTCACCTGCTTTCAGAACAGTAGTAGTGTTTCTTGATAGTTAACAGTTGAGATAGTTGAGCATTATCACACTAGTCTACCAAATTAGATTTTCAAATGTCAATTGATTTTTCTGAACAACTATCTTGTTCTTTATTTTGGAAATATATAGTAGGTGACTCAGTATCTTATTTTGAAATACTTTAAAGTTAAATATAATGGGTAACTATGATATAAGTACTTATAAACTTGAATGTTTACTAGACTGACATGTTACACTCTCCACTTACCTTTCTCAGGTGCTATCTCCTCTGAAGAAATCATTAAGTATGCACATAGGATTAGTGCAAGTAATGCTGTGTGTGCCCCACTGACCTGGGTTCCAGGTAAAAATATTTCATTTTTAAACTAGGTATGTGTGGTAGGAGACTATACACAAAAATAGGAAATTATATTTAAATGTATTTATTCTTGGAAACATCTACTATATACTTTCACATTTTTACTCTATTATAAGTAATAATATAGGCCATGGGTTTTATAAACTTGGTTTTCTACAAAACCCTTGTCACTAGGGACCTCATTTCTTTTCATTTTTTAAATAAATAATAATATAAAAAAGTACAGGATAATATGTGATTATTTTAAAGCTACAGATTTGTATGCCTGTAAAACCCAGCCCTTTAGAGTCATTCGAATTTCCAAAAAGGTTCCAGCTTGGAAAACAGACAATCCCAACTCTTAGGATGAAGCATTCAACAACATGCAGGACGGGAAAGAGCTGAAGATTAGAATGTTATTCCCGATTCACTCAGGTTGTCTTCTGGTTCAGAAGCTAACTGTGACAGCAGACAGAAGAGAGGGAAAAAGAGGGACAAAAGAGAGGCAGACCGCAGCAGCTGAAATGTTCAGAAACAGCAAAGAGCAACAAGCTGCAGCTGTGTTGACAGTGGAGGTGGAGGTAGAGCAGCGGTCGTTTTGGAGGACAGGAGATAGTCATCTCAACTTCAGTAACTCTTTAGGGTGAGATTTTACTGCCAAAAACAGGTTAACTACAGAGGTTGGGGTGACGGAAGAGACTTTTTCAGTGTCAGAATTTGCAAGGGAAGTCAGTGGGCTGCTGCCATGTTACTGAGCTCACCCTGAGGAAGTGGGGGTCATATCTTGAATATTTTACCAGCCTGTGTACCTCGTTTATTTACCAGACTGCTTTCTGGAGTACGGAATAATAACTACAAGACAGATTATTAGAAAGTTAATCCATCATGCAGGCACCATATTAGACTGTAGTTTTTTGCTCGAAACTCTGTTAGAAGTCAGATTCTAGCACTAGGAAAATACATGACCTGGTAGGATGATTGCCAAAATGACGTCCTCCTTAAGCTATTAAAATGGAGAGAATTACTTCTTGAATAATGCAAATACTCAAGGAGACGCCAGTGAACTATCGTGCCCAATCTAGCAGAAAACAAGGATAATGTTTGCATGGTACCAGAGAGCTCAAGAACATGGATAATGAGGAGGATGACCTTTTCCAGAATAAGGGGCAGTACCTTACAAGAAAAATGCTTCACGTATATTGATACAAGTGGGTCTGTATTAAAATAATAATGATTGGGACTTGAGCTGGTGTAATAATGCTCTGGTGTCATTTTAGGGTTAGGCATATTTAGAGTAGTAACATCTATAGCTGTATTTTCATCATATCACACTTCCTGATGTTGATAATCATATTCCAAGTCACCAAGAAAAGCTTAGGCTTACGAGCAGTCATCGAAGATGCATCAGTTGGTCCCATCCCACCTGGAGCAAAGGAGATTGAAGACCACAGACACAAGGAAAATATTAGCCCAAGAGACTAAAGGGCCACATAAACCAGACTCCACCAGCCTGAGACCAGAATAACTAGGTGGTGCCTGGCTACCACCAATGACCACTCTGACAGGGAACACAACAGAGAGTCCCGGACAGAGTGGGAGAAAAGTGTGGAGCAGAACTCAGATTCACGTAAAGTAACCAAACTTAATTGTCTAACAGAGACTGGAGGAACCAACCCCTGAAACTATGGCGTCTGGACGCCCTGTTAACCGAGAACTTGAACCATTCCTGAAGCCAGCTCTTCAGACAAAGATTAGACAGGACTATAAAACAAAAAATAGCACGTGAGGAGTGTGTTTTTTAGTTCAGTCAGATACACAAGACCAAATGGGCGGCTCCTGTCCAAAAGCAGGATGAGAAGGCAGGAAGGGACAGGAGATGGTTGAATGGACACAGGGAACCCCAGGGTGAAAAGGAGGAGTGTGCTGTCACATTGTGGGGATTGCAACTAATGTCACAAAACAGTTTGTGTATAAATTTTTGTATGAGAAGTTAGCTTGAGCTGTAATCTTTCACCTAAACCACAATTAAAAAAAAAGAAAGGCTTAGGTTCTGTTCTGTAATTTGATTAATAAAATATGTAATGTATTTTTTAAAGCACAGTTAAATTAAAATGCCACCTCTTAAAGATAATCTTTAAGCATTTGGAAAACTTGTCTATCCAAAACAACTAATCCTCAAAGATAGCAAAGTTTTTTTATAATTATCTTTTAATGGGGCAAGAAATGCTGATCTCACCAACTCACCAAATCAGCTCAAATAGTATGCAGAACCAGGGCTTTCAACCAGTTCATTCCAGTTCAAACCCCTGCTGAGAATTTGCATTTCTTACAAGCTCCCAGGCGAGGCTAATGCCGCTGGTTAATGACCAATTCAGAGAGCCCCTAGTAGGGCAGTGGTTCTCAAAATTTATTATACATAAGAATCACCTGGAGATCTTGTTAAACTGTAGATTCTGATTCAGTATATCTGAGATGGAAACACAAATTCTCAGCAGGGGCTTAAACTGAAAGAACCAGTTCAAAGCCCTGTGCAGAATCAATGACTAGCAGTGCCTCTGTGGGAGAAATAATATTGCAGATGTGAATAAAATGTAGTGTGAAGTTTCCTTGAATAAGAAACCCCTTAGCATCATAGACCAGGGAGACGGGAACACCAGAGACGTATTTGTAGTCTTTGGGAGAGTGAAGTCACCAAGTCTTCACTGGGTACTCTGCTGTATCTTGGTGACTATTGGAGAAGGCTTTGTAGCTTTGCACTTGTGTCATCTTTCCTGGGGTGGGTTTCATTAGCACTACTGTACATTATAAAAGGCCAACGTTAGCACTACTGCACATTAGAAAAAGAAACAAAAGTTAAATTGGAAATAAATTATAATGTTCCACTACACCTCTGAAAATGGAAATGCATTGAATTCCCATATCTGGTCTTTCAAAATTATATGACTGTTATTTTTATTTTGTTGCGGAATGCAGTAACACTTGTCTTATTAATTTGTGGGCTGTGAGTTTTCTGTCCCTTGTATTTATAAACACTACTTTTGGGGTGGGCAAGAGCTTTGCTCTGTTTTTTTTGCACCATATTTGGGGATAGTTGAGTAATACAGAGTTGATGAGAAGTATTACCAGAAAGTGGGCCCAAATCTGGCCATGTTTTTATTAACCCAAAAGTGCTATTTCAGATGCTTTTTCATTTATTCTGATTGGAAATGAACATTACTGGCTCCTGGTACTCCACTAGAGAGTTGTAGAAATTAATCTTTAAATGACACATCAAAGGGGGTTATCTTATAAAAAAGGTATCAGAGTATCATTGTTTTTTTCTTCACAGAAAGTGCAGGTTAAGTTAAGAGTCAAGATCATTACAATGTTCTTAAATTGTCTTTTGGAATATCTGCTAATGTGATTGATGGGCTTTTCTCTTATCTTTTTATATATAAAGAATAGTATATTATTGTGAGGATTCAGAGAAGAAATAAGAAGGTGTGTGTTTTTAAAATTAATATCCTGTGCTCTTAATAGCAGTTGATAAAATGACCTTCATATTCCAAAGTTAAACATGTGACTTGAGTTTTTCAAAGCACAGCAAGGAAAATTAATACTTCAAAGAAGAGATTATGCTTGTTTTTTGTATGATTGAATTAAAAGCAGTCTTCATTTTTTAGGGGACCCACGCAGACCGTACCCAACAGATTTAGAGATGAGAAGTGGATTGTTGGGTCAGATGAACAATCCTTCCACTAATGGTGTGAACGGGCATTTACCAGGTGATGCACTTGCAGCCGGCAGATTGCCAGGTAACATTAGAAGCATGTTTTCAAACAGACCGAGGCTTTTCAGACATGAAAATGGTGGGATAACTTGGTGTGAACAAGTTTTAGGATCCAGACCCAACTCATTTTAATAGCGAGAGTCTCTGCCAGTTTACCCTGTTCTCTGGTTATTCTAGTTTAAAGACTCTTCTAGATGGAGGTTATAAAATTACAATAGGCTGTCATCTTTCTCTCATTTGTTAATATTATGTCATCTTCCTCAAGCATTGGTCCTCTTCTTTTTTATTATTGCTGCAAACATTTTTAAAAGTTGTGAAACATACTAATGCAGAAAAATATAGGAAATCTGTATGTTCAGTTTAAAGATAAAGTGAGCATACTCCTTAATAGCCCCCAAGTTATCAAAATGAATATAGCTTTTTATAGACTTTTTTTTATAACTTTATAAAATAGCATTTTTGTGAGCCTCAGTTGACTCAGATTTAATCTTCTGAAATGTTTTCATATAGGCTTTTGCTGTTTTTTATATTTGTTTTATGTTTCATATCTTTTATCTTTTGTAGGTGACTTGTTTTGATAGAACATATGGAAAGTAGGAAAAAGCATACAATGAAAAAAATTACCCCTCCTTTTTCTTTGCCTGTATGCTTTACATTGTTAAAAACAAGCTCTAGATCCTGCTTTTTTTGCTTAACATTACAATGTAAGACAATCTCTCTTATTAAAAATACTTTGTAAGCACCATTTTTGTTAACTACATAAAGTAGAAACTGTTGAACTCACTGTGCATATATTACTTCTCTTTGTTATCTCATCTTTTTTTTAAATTTTACTTATTTTGTTGTTCCTTAGAATATACACAGCAAAACATACACCAATTCAAAGTTTCTACATGTACCATTTATTTTTTGTTTTGTTTTTATTGTTGTAGTTTAAATCAAGATTACATTTCAAGTTAGTCTCCCATACAAAAATTTATACATACATTGGTATGTGACCCTAATTGCCCTCCCCGTACTGTGACAGAACACTCCTCCTTTCCACCTCTGATTCTCCATGTCCAGTCAACCAGCTGCTAACCCTCTCTGCCTTCCCATCTCCCATCGGGACAGAAGCTGCCTGTTTAGTCTCTTGTATCTAGTTGAGCTAAGAGGCACACTCCTCACAGGTATCATTTTATGTCCCACAGTCCAGTCTAATCCTTGTCTGAAGAGTTGGCCTCAGAAATTGTTTTACTTCTGGGCTGATAGACAATCCAGGGGCCATGCTTTCTGGGGATCCTCCAATCTCGGTCAGACCATTAAGTCTGGTCTACTTAACTAGAATTTGAGTTCTTGACCCCATCTTTCTCCTGCTCCATCAGGGACTGTCTGTTGTGTTCCTTGTCAGGGTGGTCATTGATGGTAGCCGGGCACCATCTAGTCCTTCTGGTCTCAGGCTGATGAAGCTTCTGGTTTATGTGGCCCTTTCTGTCTCTTGGGCTAATACTTTCCTTGTGTCTTTGGTGTTTTTCATTCTCCTTTACTCCAGGTGGTTGGGACCAATTGATGCATCTTAGATGGCCACTTGCGAGCTTTTATGACCCCAGATGCCACTCACCAAAGTAGGATGCAGAACATTTTCTTAATAAGCTTTGTTATGCCAATTGACCTAGATGTCCCCTAAAAGCATGGTCCCCAGACCCCTACGCCTGCTACTCTGTCCCTGAAAGTGTTTGATTGTATTCAGGAAACTTCTTAGCTTTGGTTTAGTCCAGTTGTGCTGACTTCCCCTATAGTGTGTGCTGTCCTTCCCTTCACCTAAGATAATTCTTATCTACTGTCTAGTTAGTAAATAACTCTCACCCTGCCTACACTCATAACCATCAATGAATGTTTTCTTCTCTGTTTGAACCTTTTCTTGAGTTATTATAATAGTGGTCTTATAAAATATTTGTCCTTCTGTGACTGACTAAATTCACTCAGCATAATGACCTCCAGCTTCCTCCATGTTATGTTTCATGGCTTCATCGTTGTACTTTATCGTTGCGTAGTATTCCATTGTGTGGATATACCATAATTTGTTTATCCATTCATCCATTGATGGGCATCTAGGTTGTTTCCATCTTTTTGCTGTTGTGAACAGTGCTGCAGTGAACATGGGTGTGCATATATCTATTTGTGTGACGGCTCTTATTTCTCTAGGATATTCCAAGGAATAGGATAGCTGGATTGTATGGTACTTCTATTTCTAGCTTTTTAAGGAAGCGCCAAATCGATTTCCAAAGTGGTTGTACCATTTTACATTCCCACCAACAGTGTATAAGTGTTCCAGTCTCTCCACAACCTCTCCAGCATTTATTATTTTGTGTTTTTTGGATTAATGCTAGCCTTGTTGGGATGAGATGGTATCTCATTGTAGTTTTGATCTGCATTTCTCTAATGGCTAATGATGTGAGCATTTCTTCATGTGTCCGTTAGCCGCCTGAATATTTTCTTTGGCGAAGTGCCTGTTCATATCCTTTGCCCATTATTTAATTGGGTTATTTGCCTTTCTGTTGTTGAGGTTTTGCAGTGTCTTGTAGATTTTAGAGATTAGATGCTAATCTGATTTGTCTTAGCCAGAATTTTTTTCCCAGTTTGTAGGTTGTCTTTTTACACTTTTGGTGAAATCACTTGATGAGCATAAGTGTTTGATTTCTAGGAGCTCCCATTTATCTAGTCTCTCTTCTGGTGCTTGTGCATTGTTACTTATGATTCGTCATGTGTTTATGCCATGTACTAGGGCTCCTAGCGTTGTCCCTATTTTTTCTTGCATGATCTTGTTTTTGATTTTATATTTAAGTCTTTGATCCATTTGGAGTTAGTTTTGGTGCATGGTGTGAGGTATGGGACTTGTTTCAGTTTTTTGCAGTTGGATATCCACTTATGCCAGCACTGTTTGTTAAAGAGACTGTCTTTTCCCCAATTTGGACGTTTGTCAAATATCAGCTACTCATAGGTGGATGAATTTATGTCTGGATTCTCAATTCTGTTCCATTGGTCTGTGTATCTATTGTTGTACTAGTACCAGGCTGTTTTGACTACCATGGCGGTATAATAGGTTCTAAAATCAGGTAGTGTAAGGCCTCCCACTTTGTTCTTCTTCTTGAGTGATGCTTTACTTATTTGGGGCTTCTTCCCTTTCCATATGAAGTTGGTGATTTGTTTCTCCATCTCATTAAAAAATGCTGTTGGAATTTGGATCAGGATTGCATTGTACCCGTAGATCGCTTTAGGTAGAATTAACATTTTCACAATATTGAGTCTGCCTATTCATGAGCAAGGTATGTTTTTCCACTTATGCGGGTCTCTTTTGCTTTCTTGCCAGTAGTGTCTTGTAGTTTTCATTGTATAGGTCTTTTACATCTCTGGTTAATTTATTCCGAAGTATTTTATCTTCTTGGGGGCTATTGTAAATGGTATTGATTTGGTGATTTCCTCTTGGAAGTTCTCTTTGTTGG